GGGGGTGGGGGGTGGGTACGGACCGTTTTTGTATTTGGTAGAAATTTATTTTGCACACCTGATGGCATTTGTTTCATAAAGTTGGTGGTGTAAACCCCACCGGTTTCCTCTTTTGTGAGTTAAGGTCGTTGACACTTGTTTTTATGTTATTTTCCCCCCCATTACTGGCACAATTTTTGTGTAACCTCACGTGTGCTTACCCCCACCCTACCTTTTTGTGTTTTTTGTTCCTAGTATGTTTTTTGTTAATCCCATGTGAAAACTACAGTAGTGTCACTCGTGGCCCCAAGGATTTGACTGGTCTTTATCCCTAGTACTTGGACATTGTCGTCAGGCACTTGATATGCTGAGTAAAATGTGGGGGAGGATGCAATCCTTGAACTCCCCCCTGGGTTTGTGGGTTCTAGGGTGGGGGGCACAGCTTCCTCAGGCTTTAGGATTGCCTGGACCCCTGCTCTAACCTTTTTTTCGCCTGTCATGTTTACAGCCTCCTGTCCCTGGTGGTGTTGGAGCATTTATGATGGAACATGGCCAAAACTTCAGTCATGTACCTGAAGCCATGGTTTCTTTCCCTCCAGAAAGGATGGTTCAGTTGTGAGGCAACCCTCTAGTAAGGCATTGAAAAGTTCTTGGATTTGGTTTAATAAAAGTTGAAATAAAGTATCTGAATAATAAAGTAAAACTTAATCTTATGGTAAGAAATGGACAAAACCAGCCTTTTGTGGGATTTTTCCCCTTGTATTTTTCATATTCTGAGGTCACAAATTAACCTGGAGCTCCTAGGTTCTCTGGTAGATCATGTGAAATACTTGCAAAAACTGTGGGGGGAAAAAAAGTAAATTATTTTTTTAAAAAAGCATCTATCTTTTTCAACTCACTTCTTGGAAGTGATGATGGAAGTTACGTCTTTTTGGCCTCTGCAGAGGTTTGGCTAGACCTCCCATACTGGATTGAATAAGCCACATACATTAGGTTTGGGAAAATGTCCTGTTACTCATACCCACTTTTTCCACCCCAGCACTGTTTCACACCTTCTGGAACATTTTCTGTTTCACAGAGGGTATTCTTTCTCATTTATTACTGAATTAGCAGTGACTAGATGCCTCATAACTTAGGAGACCTGGTGTTGATTGTTATTTACGACCCAGTAGAGTTGGGGACCACACAGTTTGTAGTTTCACTTGTTTATCACTAACTGGAAAATAGACTACAAAGAAATAAGATGGTTCAAGTTCATAATTTCGTACCCACGGTACACTTTTGCCTGGCTCCCAAAGCCTGGGGAGGAGAGGAAGGGACCTAAAGAGAACTAGGAGTACACCTGCCTCTTGTGCTAAGAGGACAGGGCACGTGCTAGCCTCTGCCAATAAACCTTTTGCTAGCCAACATTTCCCACCCTCCCACTGCCCCTAACCTGCACTTCCTGTTCTACGTGAGTATGTCCACCTCTGTATCTGACTCTGAGGAAGGGTCGGGCCACACAGAGGGAATACCAGTGGGCACCAGCCTCCCCTCTGATGTCCAGTCCACCACATCAATCTCTTCCTCTTCGGAGCTGGCAGGAAGTGGGTCCAACAACTCAGAGTTGCCAAGTACCTCCTTGCCTGCCTCTGGAGCAGGATACAATACCTCATCCATACTTAGGGACACTTCTGGCCTAGTATCCATCCAGTTTGAACAGGGAGGTGAGAGGTCCTCATAGGACCTTTGGGGAAGGTCAAGAGAGTCAATATGAAGCTTATCTCTCTGACCATCCAGTGGTTGGGAACTGGTAATTTCTAGATCTGGAGTCCAAGAGCCTCCTGAAAGTACCTCCCCTTCACTCACCTCAGAGGGTATGACAAGGGGGCTAAGGGACTCAATTGGCTCTTTGTTCTCAGAGGACATAACAAGGGGGCTAAAGGGCTCAATTGGCTCATTGTTCTCACCAACAGGTTCCTTTTCCAGTCCAGTGAGCTCCCTGGGCCAGAGTTCCATGTCCGGCAAACACCATTCCTCCCCTTCGATCCAGTTCTTTCCTGTTTCTGTCAGGTGATAGCTAGGGGTCCTGCAGCCCTCGGCTCCAGGACTTCCCAGAGACCCTATGGGGGGCTCAATGTCTGAGCCACACAGCATGAAGTCCAGGATCTCCTCCAGCTCACTGGTGGCAGCAGCACTTGTGATGCGGTACTCCTCGGCTTCGCAGGGCTGCCCCAGCAGGTCTGTGTCAAAAGCATAGGGCTCTCTGCAGTCAATATCCAACCCGGGTTCCTTCCCTACCAGTTCTGGACTGGACCCGAACTCGGACTTCACCACTGGCTGGTCTGGGGAGTGGCTAGCAGAGAGCAGAATGTCTTGGAGCCTAGAGCACACTGGGGAGTCCTGACACAGGTCTACCCGAAAAGATGACTGTTCCTGCTCATTAAGTGAGGATGGCTGAGTACTCGCAGGCTCTTCTGAGCATTGAGGTTCTGGGATCTGAGGGCTATCTTGAGAGTTTCTGAGGGGAGGCTCTTGTACCACCTCCCAGCATGTCCCATTGACAATCTTCCGAAGTTTCACTCTTCCAACCTGCCCCTCTTCTGCGGAGTCGGAGTTCGGTGCCCTGACTTCAGGGCTCCGCTTCTTGCTCCCACCTGTCTTTCCAAGGCCAGATGGGCTTGGGATGCTCTGTAGAGGACTAGCTCCCCCTGGTTTCTCCTTGTCCTCTGGTACTTTATTTATACTCTTCTGCCGCCAAAGGCGCCGGCCAGGGGCTGTGGGTACTGAGCTAGGTCCGCTTACCATGCTGGAAGGCTTGGATGTACAGGTATCAGGAGACGGCTTTGAGCGACTCAGTCTGATCTTTCTGGGCAATAGCCGCTCATCCACAGAGGGATACATACTGGGTGGGGAAAGTGCTGTAGGAGCAAGGGCAGGGTCACTCTTGTTCTCTCTTGGTCCCTGACTGTGGCTTGATGGTGAAGAGCTTTTTTCTTGTGGAGTTGGGCAAGCTCTGGCCTTCTTGAGCAGATTGCCAGACAAATTCTCTGCATTCTGTCGGTTGCTTTTCTCCAGGGGCCCCTCCTCCTTCCCTGAGGACTTCAATCTCACTGGCCCAAGAGGACAAGGAGTCTGGGTTGTAGGCAGTGGAGTCCGAGGGCGGCGGCTGGATGCCACCACCCTGGCAGAGATTGGTGCTGCACTTGGAGGCTGTAAGCACTCCCGGTTCAGCCTTCGGCCCTGGGGGGCCTTCACCAACTTCCCACCCTCTAGCTGAAGGGATTCTAGCTCAGATACACGGAGCTGACGGGCAGCAGAAAGCACATCCTGGGCTTCTTCTCGAGATACTTCCATCTCTGAGGTATACAAGAAGTCCACCAGCTTCCTGAGTGTCCTGATCTTCAAGCCCCCCAACTCCAGCACCACCTTCCGACCCTGAGCTGGCCTCTCCTGCTCTAGGCGCTCTGTGAAGAAGGGGCTGCAGGCTGACAGGATGCAGCAATGAGCTGGGACTGCCTCACCTGGAAGGAAATCCACTTTGTTATCTCATGCAAACTGGCATGTTCATGGGCTAAGCAGAGTCTTTACTACCCAAGTGTGCTGCCCTTTCTCTCAGTTTTCCTCCATGGGAGTTCAAATAGAAATTTGTTCCTTCTGTCTGCCTGGAACCTTCTGTCATTACCCAGCTAACTCCATTTTATCCTTCAAAATCCAGTTTAGGGGCCCTGGATGACTCAGTTGGTTGACTGTCTGCCTTCGGCTCAGGTCATGATCTCAGAGTTCTAGGATCAAGAAACGCGTCAGGTTCCCTACTCAGAGGGGAGTCTGCTCCCTCTCTGTTTGCCCCCCCCCCTCCACCGCTCCTGCTTTTTCTCTCTCTCAAATAAATAAATAAAATCTTAAAAACAAACCCTGAAAATCTAGTTTGGACGTT